CCATTTGAAAAACGGTTCATGTTTGATTTTATGGAGCAACCTGAAGATGGGTTCCTTGAAGACGGTGTGAACTCCTCTGGACGAACCCCCTGGACGGGGTAGCAATCCCTTCCGGGGAATATCTTCGTGCTCTTTTTCCTTTCTCTTGGGTTGGAGGGCTCGGCCTTTGTTGCCCCCCATCTCGTCCTCGACCCTTGAGTACTTGTTGATTCGGGCCATCAGTTCCCCCATATCCGAGGGAGTCTTTTTGGTCAGGGATCGGTACAGGTCCGTGTCCCTGGCCAAGCCGAGCCGGAATGATGCTGCTGCCATGACCTCCGAGCATCCCTCGACCTCATTGACTTCTTCCCAGTATCGGATGGCGTACTGGCGAAGAGTCTCGGATTCCCTCCTCCTGAGGGTCAGCAGTGATCCAATGTCCTTTGGGCGCTTACTCCCCGTGATGAATCGGGTTAGGAACTGCCTTGTCAATTCTTTCCAGGACCCAATACTGTTTGGGGGAAGCGCCTCGAACCACCTCATCGCGGAGTCCCCCAAGCTCATAGGGAATACCCGGCATAGAAACCGTTGGTCCGAATGATAGAGGGACATCATCTGCTTATACTGTCTGATATGGGCGTCGGGATCAGATCGCCCGTCATAGGTCTTGAACCGTGGCACGACGAACTTTCTTGAGACGTCCATCTCGCTGATTTCCCTCGTGAAGGGTGTTTGCATGACTTCGTCCTCGGCCTCGTCCTGGATCATCTTGCCCTTTCTCCTGGAGTCTAATCGGGCTCTGAGATCTACTTCTTCCCTTGCGGGATGCCTCCTGAAGTCTCTGGGTTCGTCGGTAAGCCCCTCGTTTCCTGGGCGTCGTGTAGATTGGGTTGAGTCCTCCTCGGATTCATCTCCCTTCCTCCGTCTGGATAAACCTCGCCGGAGGTCGTCCAGGGCCAATGGCCTTGCTTTCCTGGAATGGTTGTCAAGATGGCATTCGCCGGCCTTGGGTCGCTTCGGGGCCCTGGAGCTTTCTGCTTTGTGATCCAGGTGGTTCCTTAGATCTTTTGTCTCCGCCTCATGGACGGGGAGTCCTCGGGAGAGGAATGAATCCCTCGACCCTCCGCCTGAGGCAGCAAACTCGTCGAGCCGGCTAAGGACGTTTACATTGTCCTTCTCCAGCTGACGTAATCTATCGCCAAATTTCTCTTCAATCACCTCTGCCAGCTGACGGGCCAAGGGGGCTGATCCTCCTGACCTGATACCCATACTGGTTTGAGGGGTTACCCCCCTTGACCGAGTAGAGGCACTTTTAATCGTACTGGTGCGATCCCTCCCTCCGTGATGGCAGGGAGCTTGCAACTCATGACTTCGTTGGTGGGGTCCTTTCCCTTTCTGTCTGGTGTTCACCATGGTCACTGTTCTTTTATAGAGAAAAGATTAGGAAAACTACTCGTTTCCCACAGACGGCGCCAGATTGTGCGGGCTTGATCCTGCACGATATATATATATAATTGGGAACAGATCTCTCCCCTGGTGAACTTTGGGTGAGCCGATTGAGTGGCCAAACACACTGCTCGAAACAGCTTACGATCCTGGGAAAGGAGGAACGATCCCGTACGTGCGAAAGGTATTTCCTGGGATAAAAGAGAACAAGTTAGAAGGGCGCCGGAGTGTTTTCCGGCGTATCCCCTCCGACGGTCTAGTCAGTCTTTGAATGAGAGAGAGGAAGGAGAAAACACTGAGAAGGATATTTCGTAGTAGGGAGTTTTGATTGCATACCCGCTTTGTCTTTTGGGAGGGGTATTTATACCTTAGAAGATCATGATTGCTGTCAGTGTGGTCAGTAGGTGATCATCAGGCACAGGTAGCGTGTGTAATCATTTGATGAGGAATGTCTTCTCTAATTGACTGCTCGGGGTCCCGAGCAATTAATGGTGAGTTGTCGGGACGCCGACGGTACAATATGCTCCTTTCGGGAAGGATGCAATAAATGCTCTGTAATAGGAGCATTTATTACCTTTCATATCCGAACCTTACCGCATTAAATGCGGTCTCGTCAACAGAAGGGTGTAATTAATTGTTTGTTTTCCCAAGTCGCGTGCCAGCAGCGGCATGCGGTTTGTCTGCTTCGGATGTGACATTATTTGCCACACGTCCATCCCTTATTGGCTGTTACGTCGGTATTCCAGCACGTTCTGACATTACTTGTGTAAAAAGAGCTCATGATGACTAGTCCATACTGGCATAGGCTGATGCCCAGTTTTGTCAGTAGCTTTATCCGGGAGTAGGGGAAGCGTCCAGGATGGAGTGACCCTCGGTGCCGAGGGAAGGCTCACCTCGGGGGACCAAGGGGTGGCGTGTTCCCGAGGTACATGGTGACCGAGGACACATGTCATTGTATACTGTACCGAATATGTGATCCTATATGAGAGGTACCTCGGGGAGAGGAAGCTTTGCCGATGGTGCTTGAACCCGAGCAACATTGTTCTAGAAACCCCCGAGGACACGTGTCTTCATCGTAGGCTTTTTCAGAAGAGTCCCATCAAATTTCATTAACACCCACTCGTCATTCCGAATCTTCAGTGCACTCCTTTTGGTTTACACCGTTAAATCAAAGACGACCCTTACCAGCAGTTCCTAACAATCAAAAAAGTGTTGATGTCATACTAAATTTTTTATGAAATATCAATTTTACCTTTCTTATTTCACATGAAATCCTTGGGGCCTTGTCCCTCCCCCTCTCTCTCTCTCCCTCTCTCTCTCTCTCATGCCTCAACAACTCAATCACCTAATTGTAAAAACGTGGCAATGAATCCAAGCCACTGATCCTAGCATAAATCGGTAAAGAATAATATGAATTGAAAAAATTTAGTGTTATGAATCGGTGACACCGTAATAAAAAAAAATCAGTGACACTGTACATTTAAACATAATAGAAGCAAAAATTTCAAAATAATTTTAAAAAAAAAACGGGTAACACCGTACACTTAAATATAATACAAAAAAAAATTAAAATAATATTTTTAGAAATTTTTAAAAAAAAAAAAAAACCAGTGACATCGTTTGCTAAAACATAATATAAGAAAAAAATTCAAAATAATTTTTTTTTTTAAATGGTAACACCGTACGCTTAAACATAATACAAGGAAAAAATTCAAATTTTTTTTTAAAAACAAAATCCGGTAATACTGTACGCTTAAATATAATACAAAGAAAAAATTTAAAATAAATTTTTTAGAAAATTTTTTTAAAACAAAATTTGTGACATTATACTCTTAAACATAATATAAGGAAAAAATTCAAAATAATTTTTTTTCAAAAAACGGTGACACCATATGCTTAAACATAATATAAGAAAAAAATTCAAAATAATTTAAAAAAAAAAAAAACGGTAGCACCATATGCTTAAACATAATATAAGGAAAAAAATTCAAAATAATTTTTTTAAAATTTTTCTTTTAAAAAAATTGGTGACATCGTACGTTTAAAAATAATACAAGAGAAAAATAATTCAAAATCATTTTTTAAAAAAAATTTAAAAAAAATCAATGACACCGTACACTTAAACTATATAATATTTATATTTAGTTTAATGGTACTGCACATAACACTTGGAAATAGGAATATATATTTATATATAATTTAATGAAAAATAATTGGTGAATATGTAATTCTTTATAAAATTTATGGGTAAAATGGTAAAACGTCTATTTTTGTCATGTCTATTAGCCAACCAACACTGATAAGGGAGGTCAGTGAAATTTCAGAAAAGACAAAGATTGTCGTTGAAGATAGACCTATTTAGAGGGAGTGTTGATGAAATTTTCCCTAAAAGCAATGGTACAAAATTTAAATAAAATACAAAAATTATAATTTAAATGAATATTATTTTTTAGATAAATAAGTCTCATCAATTTTTTCAATGTAACTCACTAATCCCACACTTATTTAAAAGATAATATTTATTTAGATTTTAATTTTTAAATTTTATTTGAATTATGTAATATTTTTCCAAACAATAATAACAAAACTTGTATTTGGTAATTTTTGTATATAGATAGGATACTCCATATATTCGTCAGGAACAATGTCCCTTGACACTAGACAATTATCTACATGAAATCTTATCGCACTTACATCGAGGTCGAAGTTAAAATCTCATTGCGTGCTCTGGACTTTGAAGAGTGAATTAAACTCCACCGAATTACCATAATTGCGAAAACTCAAACCTAAACAGGGAACAAAAAAATTTGAGTCCTTACCAAATAAACCAACCGCTTGATAGTATTAATTCGAATTCATTTAGTATTAGAACTCACTATTAATCTAAGAATTAAAAGGCATCAAGTATTCAAATTTAGTCCCAATTCAATTACTTTTGCGTAATTGTCAATGTCTTTACAAATGACAAACTACAATTTGTATTTGTAAACTATATAATCTATAATATAAAATAGGACAAGCTTCAATAAATTCATCCGACGATCTCAAATAGACTCATCTAACGATCACCAGCATCCCTCTTAAAATCATTCACATTGAATTTTACCTTCCTCTCCTCACTCTTCACTCTCTTTATCTGGGATTGCAACTTGTTGATTTACGTTACACTGTGTCTTCAGAGACATATTACCTCTAATATCATTATATTTTAAGGTCAGTTAATATAAAATTACGTAATTCAGAAGACCGAATGATAAAATTTGGATAAATTTGAAACTTATACTTAGGTGGAGGTGTAACGTGAAAAACATGAATGTTTGAGGGAACAGAGGCATAATTGAAGGTTGAAACTATAATTTCCTTCTTTATTGATTTTAGAAAAGAACCCCTCTCTAATGCATTTTCTTTGAGGACTATCCCTGCAGCAGTACATTGCAACATAGCCATGAAGACAGTGCTAGCATTGCCCTTCTTTTTTTCTTTTACCAAATGAGAGGAGGAAGAGGAAGAATTCACTTGTGTAGATACAATTTACTCTCATACTTACAAACCTTTGTAGGCTTCTCAATCCTCACCAAAGCATGCATTATCCATCAATAACGATGCTGAAGTATACATGTACGGGCGCCCAACATGAACATCGTGTGCACTAGCCTCCAAGATACGCCTGAAAAATGAAATGCAGTGGGGACGATAATCAAGAAAAACTGAAAAGTTGTGATAAAAAAAAGTTTCATGTTCATGGTAAACACAATGAACAGGCAGTGATGTGCACAACTCAATCAAACATTCAACATCAGGAATTTACTTACGCAAAAGCAACCAAATCTAATCCATAGATTCTGAAGCCAATAGATACAGCCAAAAAGTAAACCCAGATGAGAGGCAGATGAACAGTGAGAGAAGGCTGAAAACCAACTTAGACTGATATTAGCAACAATAATTGGTTCCAAAATTGAAGAATGAGTGGAAGTGAAAAATCTTCTGCGAAAGTAGGTGTGCCAAGATCAAAGAATGTGTTGTAAAGTGCAGACCACTCCAGATAGGAATTCTGGACTCTTGAGAATGCAAACAGTCCATCTGAGACAAAGACAAAAAACCATGTGTCTATCAGAAGTGTCTTAACAGTAACTACCAAAGAAAGTAAGTGAGGATGCAGGCTTGTTTGGACCAATGATGCCGCGATGGAAGAGAAGATTTACACAGGGTTGTTGAAACGCCAGATGGATATCTGTCAGAGATGAAGAACTACATCTCGCCAAGCACAGCATTATTCATAAGCCAGCCTATGTGGCATCTCAAGCGACAGTAATGATTGCCTATCAGCTAAAGTAAATAAACGCAATTCATAAAATGATGGGACAAGGTTTTGTTGAGTTGAGTAGAGTTGATTTGAGTTGTGTGCAAAGGTATCAATTATGCATCTGAACTAGGAGCTCAGTGTGAACCGCATTGGCAAATAACTTAATCGTCCCTTCAGAAGGATTATATTGATGTAAGCTGACAGACAAGATTTACCAAATCTGAAGGCCTAAAATAACCACAGGATATAAAAACCATGGTTTTTGCATAGATATGTAATCCTCCAAAAGGAATGGATTGATTTTGAGGACTTCAAAATTTGGCTCAAAAAGAATTTAGGTTAAAATACACAAGTGATCCTGGAGTTATGCACTCAGTGGTTCTTCAACTTTTAACCGTGACACTGGTTCTTAAAGTTTTCAATGTTTAAATGGTCTTTTTGATTACTTTCATCAAAATGATTTAATGGAACTAGATTTTTGTGAAAACCATCACCAAATGACAGTATCACAATTAGAAGTAGGGGGACCAAAGTGAGATTGAGCTAATACTTCAAGGAGTACAAATGTATTTTACCCACGATTTTATTGGAGCGGAAAAAAGGCTCAAAAACGACAAATCAAAAGGTGGGACTAAAATCACAATTCTGTTAATCATTGAAGTTAATGTTAGTTATCGTTCAATTCTAGAGAAACTGGTGAAATTTGCAATTCTAATGAGTTCAGCAGAAATTCTTACATGGAATTAGCAGGTATGCATGCTTGTTTGCCTCAAGCCCCTCAACGTTATATTTAATGTGTATATGTAGGACTCCATAGTTGAGAGAGGTCTGATTGCAACCTGCAAGTGACATCTGAGAGTCAAAATGACTGGTTGTGGAGAGAGGGAATGTTAAGAGGTGAAACGAGAGAAGTATACCCCAACATGACAAGTAAAAATCTAAGCCTGAGAGAGAGGACATCTGACGGCTTACCTGTTCAAATCTCTGAAAGAAAAGGGGCAAGTCCAGGCAAAGCAATCCTCACAGAAAGAAGCGACTTCCCGCCTACAATGCATCAAAGCAGTACATAATCTTTGAAGCACCATGTTTGGCACAAATATATTATGTAGGCAGGGGTATTGAAGAACACTCCGCATTGTTTGTGCCTTCACCTGTAAAGAAGATAAAATTAGCAAAAGAACCAATTTCCAGTGAAATACAGTCTATGAGTGAAAAGGACAGACAGACTGGAAGTGTTTTGCCATATGGGAAACAAACAAACTGGAGCGAAAAGGAATATAAACGAAATGGTCTTTAGAAAGAAAAAAAATCACAATACCCAGTCCATTTATATCTATCCAAAAGCACAATAGAAAAGCATCAGGGAAGACCAAAGGAATTACCACACATAGTTGCAGAAATGTCTAGACTTCAGGGCGGAGATCGCAAACATCCTTGTTGACAAAGATGTGTTTTTGAGTCCTTCGGCACCCTCATCAACCCACTTTTTCTGCCTGATCATATTCTGCCTGTTCAAGTTACCAGTAGTCTTTACACGAACAGATACCATCTTCAAAATGATGGAAGCGGTATGCATCTCGTACTACAATAGCTCGATTTGAGACCTTTGATACATACTTTATCCAACTATGGCAATCATTGCAAACACGAAGATTTTTAATCACACGCAGGGGTACTGTAGTAGACAAGCTTAAGAGCCCAAACACAATAGCCAGCTTTTCACTGTGAACATATGCTGTTGGGTCCTTCTGCCCCTGCTCCATTTCATTCCAAAGGTTATAACGATCTTGAACATAACCCATTGCAGCCGCCCTTTGGTTAAGATCCTCTAAAAATTCATAGATCTTATCCACTAATGGATGACGTCTGTCACCAACAAAGAATGAATGAATTGAATTCTTAGCCTCAATCCAGCTACAACCAGGCTCTTTCTTTACACTTCTGTCTTTCATCAATTGCCTTACCTGATCCCTATAACCCCATTTTCCAGCAACTGCATACATATTTGACAGAAGAACATATGTTGCCGAGTCTTCTGGTTCTAGTTCTAGTAGATGACGGGCGGCCAACTCTCCAATTTTCGCATTCTTATGCACCGTGCAAGCACTCAAGAGGGTCCTCCAGACCATTGCATCTGCTTCAATAGGCATTTTCTCTATAAATTCTTTTGCACGGTACAAAAGACCTGCCCGACCAAGAATATCTACAGCACAAACATAATGTTCTGGTTTTGGTACTAGGCCATGCTCTTGGCTCATGGAGTTGAAGTAGTTGAGTCCCTCATCTACCAAGCCCACATGGCTACAGGCTGATAAAACACCAACATAAGTGACATGGTTTGGCATCAAGCCAAGCTGTTTCATTCCCTCAAAGAGTTTTATTGCTTCACCACCACAACCATGTTGAGAATAGCCTGTTATCATGGCATTCCATGATACTTCATTTTTCTCAGGCATTTCAAGAAACTCTCTCTTCGCATCATCAAGGCACCCACACTTTGCATACAATGTTATTAAAACATTGGAAGCCTCAGTTTCTACATTGTATCCTGTTTTTATTATCCTAGCATGAATTTGCTGCCCTTGTTTTATATTTGCCATAGTGGCAGCTGCACTAACTGCAGACCCAAATGTGAACATATTAACTTCTATTTCAGCTTGATTCATCTGAGAGAAAACCTGCAATGCTTCCTCACAGTGCCCACTCTGTGCAAATCCTGATATCAATCCGTTCCATGAAATATTATCTTTCGCATCAATATTGTCAAATGCTAAATACGCATCTTCTATTCTACCACATCTAGCATAGAGGGTGACAAGAGCATTTCCAATTGAAAGATCCATAGAGTAACCAGACACAGTTGATTGCGCATGAATTTGTCGTCCTGGATTCAGTGCTTGAATTCCAGCACATGCACTGATTGCACTTGAAAATCCAATGTTATCTGACCGGATCCTTCGGTCTTGCATTTCTTCAAAAAGCTTAAGAGCTTGAACAAACATATCATGTTGAGCATATCCAGCAATCATAGCAGTCCAAGATACAACATCTTCCTCATCGAGCCGTCTGAGAATTCTCAAAGCAGTATCTAATTTTCCATGCTTAGAGTACATATCTATAAGCACACTACAAACATACACATTTGGCTGAAAGCCAGTTTTTATGACTTGGGTATGTATTTGCTCTCCTAGATCCAGAGCTCCCAGGGAAGTACAAGTTCTCAATATACTGGGGTATGTGTACTGATTAGGGGTCAGGCCTTCAATCTGCATCTGCGAAAATATCCAAAACGACTCATTCAGGTCACCCATCTGCCCATAAGCCACTAGCATTACATTCCACAGAACAACATTTTCTGTCTGAGTTGTGAGGAAGAATTCATGAGCAGTTTCAACGTCAGAACATTTCACATAAAGGTCAAGCAGAGAACCTTCAATAATTATATCTGAAGTCATTCCTGCCTTTATTGCATAGGTGTGGAGTTGCCTTCCCTTCTGAAGAGCCCCAACTAATGCACAGGCGCTCAATAGGCTTGCGACTGTAACACAGTCAGGTTTCAAAGAATCAAGTTGCATTTTCTCAAATAACTTAAGAGATCTCTCGCTCAATCCATGTTGAGCAAGCCCTGAGATGAGTGAATTATACGAAACTCTATCTCTATGCTGCATTTTGCTGAAAATTTGTTCAGCACATAACAAGTTCCCATATCGACTATACAAAGTGACAAGAGCATTACACACAAAAATTTCAGATGAAAATCCCCACTTATAAATAAGGGCATGAAGCTGCTCACCCAGCTCGAACCACCCTAACTTGGTACTAGCACTTATGATACTTGAGAAAATATAAGGGGTTGGGATAATTCCTGATTTATGCATCTCACAAAATAGGAGGATGCCTTCTTCTTCATGTCCATTTTGTGACAAACCAGATATCATAGCAACCCAAGAAACACTATCCCTCGAGGACAAACTCTCAAAAACCTTTTTAGCAGAATCTAAAAACCCATTCTTTGAGTACAAATCAATTAGAGGATTGCAAACAAGGGGATTTTCACCAAAACCATGACGAATAACCTTAGCGTGAATATGTTCCACATAGCCAAAAGCAACTTTTCCTCCACTGGATGACCGTAAAACACTTGAGAATGTACTCTCATCCGGACAAACATTTTCTGCCAGCATTCGTGAAAAGAGATTCAATACTCGACTAGTAGAATTCTTTTTTACAAAACCTGACAATAAGTTATTCCAGGAATACAAAGTTCTATCGGGCAATTTGTCAAAAAGCTTGACTGCATCATCTAAGTCACCCCAAGCAACATAAACATCAATAAGCCGGCAAGAAATGACATTATATTCATCAAAACCGGATTTCAATATCTTCCCATGAAGCTTCTTAGCATCTGTTAAAGACCCAGACTTGACATATCCATCTAGAAGCCAAAGGTAAGTCTGATGATTAGCCTGAATTTCACGACGTCCCAATAAGTCATGTCCATTTGCCCTGGTCGTGTCTATTGAATCTCTTTCATTTTCTTCAGCTGGGAATTCACCAAAAACTTGGGAAGTCGCGGTATTACTGAAAGCAGCTAGATTTAAGCTACCCACACTATCAAAAAAATACTGCAATATCCCCAAAAAGTTAAGGAAAAAGAAGAAGAAGAAAGAATACATAAAAATTAAGAGCTTTTGAATATGAATAGAGAAAGTAAATGGGTTTAACATAAAAAAGAATTACCTTTGGGAACTTTGAAGAAGATTTACGCGGGAAGTGATGAAACAGAGAATAAGAGACGGACCCACAAAGGGAAATTGAAATTGGATTCGGAATCATGAATCCTTGGATTGGAGTCATCATCAATGAATGCCTAAAAAGAGTTTAGAGCTCTATACCCTCAGCTTACTCTGTTATTTCATGGCAACCTGGCATTCCAACCACCACTAACATATACCATTATCGTTATGCATCTCTCTCTCCCTCTCTCTCTCAGATGCACACGCTCGCGCGCACACACTCAGAGAAAGAACAGAGTTACGCAAGTGCAGTGTATCAGAAAATGTGTGTATGTGTGTGTGTCCGCGCAAGCGCGCGTGGAGACGATCGAAAAGTTTGGGAAGAGCCTTGGGGTTCACAACGGTCGATTAGCGGCGTAGGGGTAGTGGTTAAAAAATAAGTGATGGTTGAGTGATGCTTTGCACCCAAAAGCTTTTCAAATTCTTAATACATACCCTAAAAGATTATAATTTTTATTTTACACTCTCAATTAAATACACAAATAGTAATATAATAAAAAATCACAGGTCCATTACTATTTGTGTATTTAATAGTAACGTAGTAAAAAATCATAGGTCCAGCAACGACCGTTTGGTCCAATAGTATCTCTTATTTTGTTGCAAACCTCAATTACTTAGACAAATTGTATTCAAATTTTTAATGTGGGTTTAAATTCTTACCAAAACTTAAGTCTTGATTTAATTGGTATATGAGTTGAGGGATCAATTCGTCCACCTGAGATTTGTCATTGGTTTTACTTTGACTCATAAACCTGAACAACTAAGCCACCTCTATCTCGTAGAGGACAGGACAAGGATTTCTTTCATCAACCAAAAAAAATAAAAAATCACATGTCCATTGTTTTCTTCAATAAAATATTTAATAGTTTTTATATTTTCTATTTCTATACATATATTTCTTATATGTATGTATTTTATATGAAAATTTTATCAAAGCAGATCACGTTACTACTTTACTTTTTTGTAATAATTTTTATATTTTTCTATGTCTATATGTGTATTACTCATGTTGGGATTACATGAAAAATTTGTACTTAATTTTATGAAAGAGATTACGTTACTATTTTTTAATTTGATTGAGAATACAATCAAAATATTTTAATTTTTTAAGATATGAATTAAAAATTTAAAGATGTTTTAAGGTTCAAATTGTTATTTACCTAATTATAAGGACAGTGACAGGAAATTTTAAAAAGCCAAAAAGGAAACGACGTCGTTTTAACATATTTCTCCTTTGTTTTCCCCTGAAATCACCCTTCTTTGTGAACCAACCAAACCCTAGAAGACAAAACCTCCTACTGTAGTAGCCATGGCGATCGCTAGGACTGGAGTATTCGTCGACGACTATTTGGAGTGTGAGTCTCTTCATGCAACCCCGTCAATTTCTAGCTATTGTTATTTCTAGTGGAGAATTCTCTTCTCGAAGTATAAATTTTTTTTTATATCGGTGCTGAATTTGAATTTGAATTTGTGTTAGATGCAAACACATTGCCCGCAGAGCTCCAGAGGCTTCTCAATACCATTAGAGAACTCGACGAGCGTTCTCAATGTACCCTCCTTTTCCATTCCAAACACCCATTAGTCTCTTACCCAATAATGTGTTCTTTGTTATTTGGTATAAATGCATTTTCAATAAGTGTGTATATGTTTTGATTTTTGGTTTATTGAATTACAATATATAATCTTTTATTGGAAGCGATGATAAATCAAACAAGGCAGCAGACCAAGTACTGCTTGGGATTAGCTTCTCAGAGCTCAAAGAAAGGGAATAATGAAGATGATGAGGCATTTGAAGGGATGAGAAAAGAGGTTGAGGCAAACCAGGATAATGCATTAAGTCTCTGCACTGAGAAAGTTTTATTGGCACGCCAAGCCTATGACTTGGTAAGCTACTATAATTGTTAGGCCTTCAAAATGTTGTCAAGTCCCAAGGTAAATTGGGTCAGCTTATGCTTTGTGTATTGATGGTTTCTTAACAACTGCAGCTTGTTCAACAATTTGTGGTTCTACAATACATTTTCAACTAGTTTACTTCTTGTTGAACCGAGTTATTGGAATTTTCTTTAGAGCTGCTAAAGAAAGATATCCATTACATCATTTAGATGCATGAAAAATGTCGAGCTCATTGAAAATGATGCATACAAGAAATTGCATTGACTATGAAAGGATATAAGGAGAATGAACAAAAAATCATCATTCCTCTGATGCCAATCCGCTTGAGTTCCATTTTCCTACCCTCCCATAGCCATGCCATCGTTAGAAGATGAGTTTTACATACTTGGGATGCTTGCAGTGTGGAGATTTGCACAGTTTTCTTTATAGGAGTTGCACATTATTGGACCTCGTAATACCTTTAAGTTAGCATTTCTGAAATGTGAAGTCTTAGCCTCCAGAAACTGCACTTGTGCTTTTACTCCTCTACCACTTTTTGCTCGTAATGCCAGTGGTTGTTAAAAGACACTATGGGATTGAGTTTTGTTGTTAAGGTCCCAATTCAAAGCATGAAACCCACAACACTTTTATATACATGCATTTACACGTTTTCTCACAAGTGGGGTGGTAGCCTTGTTGGCTTATTTATGGTGAGTAGTTGTAAATTAATTACAAAAGATAAAATATCACGATGGCTATTAAGTCTGAAAAGTAACTGGAAAGTTGATAAAACCCATTAGCAATTAAACGGGTTTTGTGTTTAACCTTGCATACCTATGTGTTTGCAAAACGTTCATCATGGGAACCTATTTGATTAAGGACCAAGTCCCACATTTTTGTAGAGCATTGAATTCAATGCTCATTGCACACCACCATTCTACTTGTTTAATGACTTGAGTAACAGTTCAACTTGTTCAACATTACAAAACATTGGTAGTACATACTTGTGATTTGGTACTAGAATACCATCTTTCCCATGAGTAGTCATGATATGAGAGGATGACATTGTAGGTTGAGTTGAAGTATGTATGTGGATCATATTTTTTATTCTTGTTACTCTTTATATTTTTTGTATTGTTTGTCTTTTTGATGAAAGATGGCAATCAATCGTGGGGTGGACTACTTGTCTACCTATGATTGGTTTATATTTTTTCTTTTTTTTATTAATAAAATTGTTGTTTCTTATTGAAAAAAAGAGTTGAAGTAGGTATGAAAGGTTTTTTTTTTTTTTTTTTGATAAGGATCATCATTCCATTAATTAGAAGAAAACAATACAAAATATGATAAAAGGTGGACACTAAGTCGGTATGAAAAGTGGATCAAGGTTTTTAAGGGAACTGGGAATGGAAGGTGGTGTGGTGATTGTCTTTCATCAATTATTGTTAAGAGACATTCAACCCACAAATCATGCTAGAAATCTTTGTCACCGTGATACTTTATCTTTTGTAATTAATAGACAACCACTCATCGTAAATAGGTCAAGAAGGCAATCACGTCACCTGGGAGAAAATATGTAAATGCCTGTATATAAAGGTTTTGTGGGGGTTCATCCTTTGAATTGATCATTGGCAACAAAACTTAATTCCATGATTGCTTTTACTATGTACGTACTTAACTAGGCTAAATGATCTAACAAAAATACATGAAAGACAATCAAGGTGACTTGATCACACACAAAGATTTGGATGGACTAATAGTTGTCATTAGCCCAATTAATTCGATAATGACTGTCCAATGGGGGGAGTTTGTTTCATTTTAATATCAATGGCAGTTCTTTAATGAGCCCGCATAGGTGTAGGCTGTTGTTGAATTGCTATAAGGTTATAGAATTAAGAGTAAGTCTATGGTACCAAAAAATACGACAATATCTCTCTCTTTCTCACACACACACACACACACACTCACTCACTCACTCAACTCCACACAACAAAGCCTTGTTCCAACATTTTTGGCGTCGGATAAATGAATCATGTTTCGTCATTGTGCCCTATTAAAGGTCAAATTTTTTGTTAAACCATAAGTAATCATATCTCTCTGCATATGTTAATAGTTAAATATATATTTCACTATGGAGGTGCTCAATGACATCTTAGGAGAAGGTTATTCTGTTATTCTGCTGGAAATTATAGTGTGTGCACCTAACCTTTACATAACTGAAGAGATGTGGTAGGAGATAATCATTCTAGGCATGGGTACTGCAGCATTACCATTATATAATAATGGAGTAAAGTGCACATGCTGAATTACTAATGCGGATGTAAGCCTTGACTCCAATTGCCATGGAAGTTAGCCGTGGAAGTTCAAATGTTCAATTGCCATGGAGTCTAACACAGTTACAGCAAGGTTCCAACTTGGTCAACAAACATCTCAGATCCCAAAGGAAATAGTCCACATTTGGTCCATTGTATCCCTTGCAGGGACTGGATTTATTACTGTTATTTCCTTTTTCATTTTCACCACAAAATGGTTACATTTTTAATTAATTGTTCTTCCTAATTCCATCATGAAATCATAGTTGGTTCCACTACAAAATACTGATCTTTTTGCTGCTTTCCAAATTCTTTTGCGAAATGCAGAGTGGAACTTGTGATGGTTGTTTTGCTTGTTATCAAATTTCTTTCACCACTGTCTGTTCCTTTTGCTGGCTATCATATTCTTTTGGCAGCAATCCACAGAAGAACACACCAATGGGATATGATGCTACATCCAGTATCTATTTTATCTGTGGATGAGTTAATGCCATATTGGGCAGATTCTGTATATACTTTAATTTCCTGAGGGCAATATCTCTCTTTTTTTTTTTTCATATGTTTTTTCCAGATAGATAGCCATATAAAACGTCTTGATGAGGATTTGAACAACTTTGCAGAAGATCTAAAGCAAGGTGCAGCAACTGTTTCCTTGGTTGTCTGTTTTTGTTTTATGTATATAATATCTTTTTACAGTTTTTGAAACTATATTTTGACTGCAAGCAATAAAGCTCTGAAAGTAGTTTTAGAGTTGCAGTTTACCACATCATTAGAAGTTTTTCTGACACACCTTAAAGTTCTTATTAGCTTACATAATGCCATTCAACATCGGGAATATCATGTGGTACTGCCATATTACAATGACTCATTTTCTATCATACTGGACCATCATATTAGTTGACTGCTAATTCCACCAAGGGTACAATTGTGTGAATACGAAGTGTTCATTGTTGCCCTAATTGCCCATATGAATTTAGTGGCTGTAGTTATGAGCTTACGTGCTCTATGTGTGTTGTTTCTTCCTTTTACCAAAATTTTGCAGAGGGAAAATTAGCACCAGATGAACCTTCGATTCTTCCCCCATTACCTTTAGTCCCTAAAAATGAAAAACGACGACCACCCTATGGAACCCCTCAATCAAAGAGACTTGATTACAGGGAGAGAGATTGGGATCGGGAGCGTGATAGAGATTTTGAACTCATGCCTCCTCCAAGTGCCTTTAAAAAGGATTTTTCTGTTCCCGCTGATCTTGATCAACCCATTGATCCAAACGAGCCTACCTACTGTGTCTGTCATCAGGTTCTGTCTTCTGTTCCACTGCTTTCCCATTTCCATGTTTTTTGTCAACTCACTCCTTTTGAAGATCCAATTTTACTGTTATGTTTTGTAAATCTTTTTGGGTAATGTTATGTTTTGTATTTCATCTGATTTTCCAGGTATCTTTCGGAGATATGATTGCATGTGACAATGAAAATGTAAGTAGCCCCTAACCCATTCTATACATGGTTCTCTTTGTTCTTCTTTGCATCTTTGGATTTTTTTCTCAACTATTGAATTTGGATTAAATGAGAGATTTATGAATGCTTTAGGCAAAGGGAAGGTCAAGGCTGCACAATTGTTGAATTGTTTGTTTAATTCACGAAATGAATCAATACTTGGATGTGACCAAAAGCATGGGAAATGGAACAATGTAAACACTTCGATTGTGAGGTGAAGAACTAAATTATTTGGACATACAGGTGATGGCTTACCAATCTGGGAAGGGCTCAAATTACACTCTGTGTAAAACATTGTTTAGTTTACACCCTACTAATCTGATCCCCCCCCCAAAAAAAAGCACCCTACTGAATTTCATGTGGGAACTATATTTCTCCAACCCCACCATTGGTTTAACGACTTATTTCAGACACATCGTGAGTGCCCAATATCGCATGGGTCTGACACCTTTAGCCGTAAGATTCAATGCGTCCAACAAATAAGTGAAAATTAACTCCAGTTTAAGGCATTACTGATGGGGTAGTTAATGACCTTCAATTAAACCCAAATTTAGCATCCATGAGAACAACATAAAATATCCAATGGTAGGTTCGCAAAAATATCCAAATATTCAATGGTAAGTTAGCAAAAATATTAGTACCACTTAAAAAAATTTGCGGCGTTGACTTAAAATTGTTTTACACCATGTATTAGTTGATTGTATTCCTAACAATCCTGATTGGCGACAGAGGCAACCACTTCTTTGTGTAACTGGAGTCTTCCTAGAATTCCCATATTACTTATTCTCATTCGAAGAATAGGATGGTAAAATAGTAGTATAAACGTTTCAAATTGTACCAAATCATCCACCACAGTGTCTACAGTTGGGACAAGACGACGTTGAGTTGGTTGACTTGATCTATTACAGAATGAGTATATAGAGTTGGGGGAGGAAATGTGCAATAAAAATTGTGTACATGTTGCTGACTACCCATGGTTTTCCTTCCCCCCTCCTGTTCTACTCTCTTTAAATTATCATAGAAATTGTACAAAAATTGATGGACATGGAATGGGTTATCCTAGTTGTTTGAAAGTATAGCTTATAAGTTTTTTTGTTGACATCAACCTGCAAACGTCGAGAAGCTCGATACATGGTATGAGGAATATTTGTCATCCCAGTACCTGTTTTTCTATTATGTCATCTAAAGTAGTTCAGAGCTAATATTCTAGTAGTTCGGGGATCTTCCTTCAAGCACGCCTTGTGACGAACAGGGAGACAGGTTCTGAATTGGTTCTACGTACTTATTCTCTCTCTTTATTTGGCAGTAAGTTGAGTATTGTGAAAACCTCTTGGAGACATTGCTATCTCTTCAAAACTTTTGTTGGAGAGCAAATGCTAGGTATGTGAATCAGAAATCAGGTGTTAGGCTTGTTTCCGGAAATTGAAAAAGGGACTGTGAGCACTTGTTACTGGTCTAGTCATCATGAAGATTCTGTCAATATAGAAAAACTAATACTTGTTACGACAGTAGAAAGTATTGTTACATTTGCAACACTCAAAATATGATGCGCTCTCTGTTTTGTATCGTGGGATGTCACAATTCATAAAAAAACATCAAAGCATCAGAGCTGAGCATCTATCATGGGATGTCATGGCAATTGATCTTTATCATCTATTCTTACTGATTACTTCATGTTCAGTTACTTTATGAATCATCTGCGATTGTTTTCTCCTTTACAGTGCCAAGGAGGTGAATGGTTCCATTATGCATGTGTTGGGCTCACACCAGAGACAAGATTTAAAGGAAAGTGGTATTGTCCAACCTGCAGACAACTGCCACATTGAAACTGTGTGCAAGTATCTAACTGCTTATGCAAACTACCTAAGTACTGCTGTATGTATTGGTTCACAGAAAGCAAATGCTGGAAAAAGTTGGTGTTTATTCTTGAGATGAGTCTTGCCAATACTATCAATTTGCCTATGTGTCAGATGCTGAAATGGTAACCCTTCATTTCAGTGATTGTTGGTATGGTTGAAAGTTTTTTTTTTCATTTTTTTTCCCCTGCACAGAAGCTTGTTGAAGAAAGAAGGCAGTCTATGTTTTTGCCTTGGTAACTTAGCATTCAACTCTGTATACTATTGACAAAAAAAACTAAGTACCAGATACGTATAATCAGTTCTTATATGATGTGTATTAGTTGATCGGTGACTCTAATTTTTTTTTTTTTTTAACTTTTAGAGTGATTGGGTAGCATTCAGACAAGGGATATTGTTGGTCCTTCTGCTGTCATCAACCCAAATGATAATGAGCCCCAAAAAGAGTGAGAAACAAAACGTATCCAGCCTGCTAGTATTGTTCTTTAAGCTTAGATTGAAAGCAATTGTGATGAGAGTCGGCTCGAGTTTGTTCATTGGGTGTCTTATATCAAATTAAGTTTTTTACTCAAATATTAATTCAAATTTAAATAAATATTTGAGTCGAAATTGGAGATGGCCTTAGTTCATGATTTTCAACATCGATTCAAATTTTTACTTAAATTTGAATAAAAAATTTAATTTGATATAATAGGTTTCAATGGATAAACTCGAACTTAAAAGAGGGCAAACTCAAATTTAAAAAATAATAAATTTAAATTTAAAAGATGGTAAAATATAATTATTAATCTTTATTAAAAAAAAATGACATATGATCATTGATGATTTGAATAAATTTTTTTTTTTTTTAATTTTAGTAAAATTTTGAGTATCTCTTAATTTAGTATGAATTTAAATTAGGATTAAATTTAGGGATTCTTTTATTCAAATTTAAATTTGGATTAAAAAAAATGTAAGTAGTGCAAAAGTGACAAATCTCAATGATCTTGGGGGTGATATACCCTTTATTCCTTAATTCCAAAAAAAAAAAAATTCCTTTTTAGCACAGGGGCAAAATCGTTCAAGCAATAAGACATTACGTTAGGAAGGGATGGCGGTGGTATTTAAGACAAAGATTTTGGAAGCCTACTATCACACATGTCATAGACACAGAAGAATAAGGTAATTTAATCGGACAGCTCATGGCATTGAAACGAAGAACACGACACTCCAAAAACCGGCCAAAAAAATATAGAAAGTTTCTCATTCAATTCGTTTTTTTTTTTGGTCTTTCAATTCAAGAAACCCAATGACATGTCTTTTCCCCTTGTTACCCTTTATCACTTAGATTTTCATCGTACTGTATGTGTAAGAATCTGTACATAACAAAACAAACCCCTGCACAGTATCAGTACTCATCAGCAAGACGATACACAGAGAGGTATCATTAACGCAAAGGTATGACTATTGTTTTGTCAAAGCTTGATTTTTTTTTTCTTATAATCTTGGATACCCATTTGTTTTACTGAAGTTTTAAGTTCTTGTTTGTAAGCCTCTGTGTGTGTGTGTGTGAATTTCACTATGTTCTCAGATTAGAGAATTATTTTTGATTTCTGTGCCAAGAAACTAAAAATGTTTCCTAGTACCCTAAAACATGGAGGCCGCTGTTCTATGTTTCAGTATATGATATACCCACAAAGTGATAGTGTTGAATGCATGCGAGTTCTTAGTTCTGCTGTAATCAATTCCGTTGCAGAGACATTAAGTTTTTCTCCATAACACTTTAAGTCAAGTTGGTTTCAGGTAATAATAAGTAAAAAATTAAAATTTTGTTGTTGAATACATAAAACCAGTCATTGGTTAGCTTCAATGATTTTTAATTTGGTAGGGTACATATGGAGGCCCAAGTTATGAACTATCACAAAAACCGATCTTTGAGGTAGTTTTCCTTTCAAAGAATGGGTGAATCAAAAAGTTAGAATGCTTGTTAGTCCTTGGGCTGGGTTACCAAATTAGTATACTACCATATGGGGGTTTTGTGAATTTTGGTTGTGTGTGTGTGTGTTTTTTTTTTTTTTTTTTTTTTTGGGGGTGGGGGGACAGAACATAAGTTTATTATCCTCACTTTACGGCTGTTGGATATGTGCATAGTAAAGCGTCACTAGTGCGAGAAGACTTTTTGTATAATTCATTATTTTTTTCTTCTGGAAGGGGTGTGGTCTATTTTCATAAGCTCAAGTCAGAGACCCAAGTTTAGGGTTAGCTCTATAACCTTTTTTCTGGGGTTGTGTTTAGATTAGTATTGACAATGGGAAGAAATCTTAGCCCAGTGCTCCGGAGAGAGTTAGAAAATCTGGACAAGGATGCCGAATGTAGGAAATCAGCAATGAAGGCACTGAATTCTTATGTAAAAGAATTGGATTCGAAGGCAATTCCGCATTTTCTTGTACAGATTTCTGAGAAAAAAGAAACCGGGATATCATCCAGGGAACACATAATACCACTTTACGAAGTTCTTGCTCATGTCCATGGCCCGAAAATTGTCCCTCACATTGATAGCATCATGGCTACCATCATCAAGAACTTAACTTCAAGTGCTGGATCTTTTGCACTTCACCAGGCTTGCTCAAAGGTGGTTCCAGCTATTGCTAGGTATGGGATGGAACCAACAACCCCAGAAGAGAAGAAGAGGCATATAATTCACTCTCTCTGTAAGCCTCTCTCAGATTCTCTTTTGGGTAGCCTAGACAGCCTATCTTCTGGAGCTGCCCTCTGTTTGAAGGCTCTCGTGGACTCAGATAACTGGCGGTTTGCTTCAAATGAGATGGTCAATGAAGTTTGTCAGAGAGTTGCTGGGGCTTTGAAGAACCCAACCCTGACCAAGTCACACATGGCTTTAGTCATGGCTTTGGCTCAGAAAAGTAGTCTACTTGTTGAAGCATATGCTAGATTGTTAATTCACTCTGGTTTACGGATTTTGGATGCTGGTGTTGCAGAGGGTAATTCTCAGAAAAAGCTATCAGCCATTCAAATGGTAAATTTGTTAATGAAGTGTTTGGACCCGAAAAGCATATTTTCAGAGCTTGGGTTGGTAATAGAGGAGATGGAAAAGTGTCAGTCTGGTCAGATGGCTTATGTTAGAGGAGCTGCATTTGAAGCACTGCAAACAGCAAGAAGACTAGCCACTGACAAAGGCTCAAAGTTTGAGAGTAATATGGGTTCAATTACTGGGGCTAATGTTGGCAGAAGAGGTAACAGTCGAATGAGAAATTTATGGGGTAGTGAAGATCAATCACCACTTACTGCGTCACCTGAATCGCAGACTGTTAATTCATTAGTTGGGTATAATTCTTTAAGTGAATCACCAATGTCAGGAAGTCAGACCTCTCCGGACTCGGATTATGACCAAAGGAGTGTGAACCAGAAACTTTGGAGGATTTACCAGAATGGTGGTGTGGATGTATCTGTAAGGGACAGGCTATTTTCAGAGGTACATGATGAATTTAGTGATGACCGAGGAGATGAATTCATCGGACTTTTACAGCGAAGTCCACAAATTGGAGTTGTGAGAGGCACCACTCCCGGCCCTCAGGTAAGCCCTCTAAATATTTTCACAAGTGCTTGTCTGCAAACTTGTATTGCAGTGCACAGTTACAATTCACATACTTGCATAAAAATAAAACAAATAACTTGGGTTTTCACCTGGTCAGTTGTTGTACTAAAAGCGAAAAATAAGAGCGACAATGTTTAATTAAGAGATTCTGCTGGCAACGTTACTGTAGATAGGAAATAGACGAAGTTTGCGATTTTCAGCACAAAAAAAAAATATATTTCGGTACTCTCAGCTGTAACCATTGGTATCTTTGGGTAGAAAATTGGGTTATACCTACACCTTATAACCAAAAAGTGCACATTTAACCTTAACTTTCCACGTACTATCCATTTAAATATAATGATTCTATTTGCTGCATTCTCAAACAATCATTTCATTCACACTTCCTTTTTTTTTGGGCTAGTTCATTGACACACTTGTCTGCTATTCAAGATAAAATGTAGTTTCCCTTTAATCCCATACTTGGCACTAATTCTTGTTAAACGTTTCCGGTTTCCTCCATTTAACAATGCTCTTTGTGCTTCAGGGATCATGCTCTCACATCAACGCTGACAATGTCAAGATCTTCACAACTCCAAGAAAGCTAATTTGCTCTGTTCAGGAACCAAACGATGTGGACTTCTTCGAGAACCAAACCAGGAGGTTTACAAGTCCATCAAGCAAATTAGAACGGATTTCCACATCTAGGTATGACCAAAATGGCCTATCACAAGATGCAAATGATGAGACCGAAACATATGGAAATTTGTCTATTGATGGTGAACAGTTCCATGATAGCTCAGAGTCAGTGTATTCAACAGAAGATGTCCGTGCGGATTCTGATCTTCAAGAGTCTCCAAATGTGAGACCTGGAAGTAAAACTGAATCACAAGGTATTAATGTTCGAAAACATCTTCGGAAACGTACTGTCAACATCTTTTGTGGTCTCTTTGTACTCCTATTTGCAGTTTTTGTTTGTTTCTTGTTGATTGATGACCCGGATGAAGGCCTTTATCTTGTTCCCACCTAATTTTACTTTATGGTGTATGGTAATCAAAATTGGATTTTGATCAATGGTAGAATCATTTGGTAAAAATTTTGCCCTCTAAAACTTACGAGCTTCTTGTAACCGGACTGTCATTCAATCATCAAAACTGAGAATTGGATGCTAACTGTGCTGTTTAGCCCAATAGAATAATCACTTTGTTCTTGAAAGATTGGAAGATTTTTCCCGCTGATCCATGGATATCGTGTTCTCATCTTAATATGAAATCCTATGGCAAATTCTTTGCTTTCTTAGCAATGTTTTTGAGTATCGTATATTCAATTGTCTTAATTTTCTCTTTCTGTTCTTACGATGTTGAGTTTATATGTTGTTGCTTGATTGGAAAGTTTATTTAATGGGAATTGATTGCCTCTAGAAAGTAGATAATCATATGCCCTGATACGAAGAGCAAAACCATTTTACGTATGACGGCAACTTGCATAACATTTTTGTCTTCCATTCGTTCTTTTTAGAAAACATTTTGCATATACAGAACATGGAAAGAAAAACTGTTTTTCCCAGAAAGTGTGGAACAAAATTCTCCAATTTTAAGCTGCTTCCTCTGCATAATACTAAGATGGACACAGAAACGGGCTTCAGTAGAATTTAGAGATTCGGGTTCTCTAACTGCTGCCCACCTCTCCATTCACCATTAGGCTGCAGGATTATTGGTTCAAGCAGGGCTGACTGGCCTATGCATATATAAGCAAACTTGCCATACCAATCATAACTTGAGCCAGGGCTGAACATGTACAGTTCATTGAACCCCTTTCTTCCTACTTCAATGGAGTTTCTTCTACCCTGTTAGAAATTAAGAAGCAACAAAAGCAAAAACAAAAGTATCATTTAGCTCAAGCTCGAGATGTCGAAATAGAATTAGTCAAACAAAACACTTAGCATTATTGAAATAATTTGTTTAGTTCAATTGCTTACTGCAGGAATGATTTATTTTCATGGGATTATTCTCAGAGATGTTCTATTGTAAATATAGTTAAGCATCGATGTTAGAAAGAAGAATGTGATAATAGCTGGTGTTCATAGTCATACCCTGTCAATGATGGTAAAGTTCCTAGGTGCACTAGTGTAAATCCTGCTCATTTTCTCAGTTAAATTCTTGTAATTTTCTTTTTCTTCACCCTCCAACTCTTCGTCTGTTGCTTTCTCTATCCTCTCTACATCATCAGCATTGTTCTGATCTCTAACGCCGCCCCAACCGGACAAAAGTTCCCTGAATGCCATAGGATCCCATAAATTCTTAGAACCCAAACCCTTTCTCTTGTCGAAATCCGGAGGAATTATGCTAAAATTTGACCAAACTGGTGGCCTGCTAAAGAAATCTGAGCCTTCCAGTCCCACCGCATAAGTTGCTTCTGGTGTACTCACTATGAGATGGCTTATAACAGAACCCCTCAGACAGAGTGATGTAGGTTGTGAGTTAGAGATGACAATCTCCGAGCTTAAAAGATCCTGCTGGAGAGTCACAATATGTTTAACTTCAACCATGTGCTCTGAGTTGCTGCTAATCAGTTCTACCTGCATTTCACAAGTTCATTTCTCAGAAATTTGTTCTGAAACTGTGTACTTAAAAGACACAGCCAAAGTGACAAAAAAAAAAAAAAAGAAGGGGAAGGGGGGATATTGCGAAAGTGGCAGGTGATAAAAAGATATATTGGCCAAGACAAGCATCAATCCACCTTTCGTTTTGAGATCAATCCACGTTTCAAATGTACCAGGAGTTTCACTCGACTCATAGTTGGCTCGGCCGAGTTGTTCGACTAACTATTCCGTGGCATTGCAATACTCTTCTACGATTCTGAGATATGACCTAAATTTTTCGTCAATTTTAACTTTTTCCTCTATCCAGCATTTTGCACATGTTGCCCAAAATCAGATTCGATTGAAGCAATTCAATGCTTCTCGAGTCCGTAGCCAATGCCACGACCTTGACCCATATCATAATGACACAATCACAACACATAAAATGACCTGACTCATTCTTCAAAGTATTGGCCCATAATGATATGGCTCGGCACCTTCTGTTTGGAGATCGATCCACGTTTCATATGTACCAGGAGTTTCACCCTAACTCGTAGTTGACTCAGCCGTGTTGTTCGACTAACTATTCCGTGACATTGCAATACCCTGCTGCGATTCTAAGATATGACCTAGATTTCTCATCAATTTTAACTTTTTCTTCTATCCAACATTTTGTGCGTGTTGCCCGATATCATTGTGTGATGCGGCAAACAAAGTTGACTGAAGCAATTCAGAACTTCTCAAGTCTGTAGCCAATGCCACGACCTTGACCCATATAACAACACCATGTTCTGCCCTATTTGGACCCATACCTTTTGTTATATCCCACTATAGTACACCTGTAAGAATGTACCGAAAAAATTTCCCATTTCAGTACATTTTTGGGCTCTCTCACTCATCAGGAAGGTCCTCAAAACTTGTCATATTGAGATTACAATTACACAAATAAACTAGAAACAGACCATACCTGAGTGTATTCTTGAGGACTTCCTCTAACTTGATGAAGAGCCCAAGCACTTGGAGACCATGAAACCTTTTCTTCACTTTCACATTTGAAGTCCAATGACACCCCTCCTTGAATAACAGCACCACCACTCACCCCTTCCGATACCGATGTATGAAGCAATTCTAGGGTGGAGCCATGCCACATAGGAGCCTTGTATGATGTTATCAGACCACTTGGCAGCATCAGAGTGGCCACACTTCCATTCTCCAGACCCATCCTGACCACACAGCTGTCGCCAATAGCCGAAAAGGTAACACCATGTCCACTGAATTGGCTTTGTAGGTAGTCCTCATTGATAGATGGGTATGGGATTGAAGACACTGCTGGCAATGGGAAATCTCTCTTGTTGCTGCAATGTAGAGTACTGGAGGGAAGATAAGGGAATGTAGTTTTTGTTACTGGTTTGATGGGGGGAAGAGAATTGAATTGGACAGAGAAGAGGGTACTATAAACAATGGTCATGCTTTCTTCTTAATGTAAATGTTTTTTCCTAGTCGAGCATGTTATAAGTAACCTTATTTACTACTAAATTTTGATATGCTATCGAACTTGTTACCGCAGCCTTATCCTTTTACAGTTGATGGGAAGAGAGAGTGAAACAGGAAGGGGACATGCCTCTCATCCTCACTGATTCAATCTAGGTCCACATTTGGATAACCTGGCTTCTATTTTTGGTTGGTTCTGATTGAAACTTCACAGATATTTCGGGTAATCTCTGTTTTTTTTGGCTCTTTTATCTCTTGACTAGATTAAAGATATTTTCGGGCGTAAATTACACTTTGTCCCTTTAAATTATTACTTTTATTTCACTTTACACTCTTAACTATTAAATTTCTCATATTGTATCCTAAAGTATTTATTTTATTTCAAATTACTCTAATAAATAACAACTGTCAATTTTTTGATTGTAAATGTGCATGTGAGTGGTCTGTATTACAATAAACAACTACCTATTGTACATGTACAAGTCAAAAAGCAAGAAAAATATTCGTCCATGACTTTCGCTTTCTTAAACTCCAAATTTTCTTTCTCTAACTGACCTTCTTTTTCTTTTCAACAATCATTTGCCTGTAAAAGAGATAAAATAAAGTGGTATTAGACACTTGGCAGGAAGTTATTTGGGATTTTCCTTCCTCCTTTGGCAAATTTTTAAAACTCATTATCTATTGGAGTGATATGAAATAAAATTAATATTTTAGAGTACAATGTAAAAAATTTTATAGTTGATAATATAAAGTGAAACAAATGTAATAGTTTAAGGGTAATTTACTTATTTTTAATTAGATTTTTCTTTTCTGTTCTTTTTTTTACCCTCGACAAGCCTGCTCACATATTTTTTCTATTATTATGAAAAGACTTGCGTTTTGGTTGGCCTCATCTTCTCAAGATCTTTTAGAATGTCACACGAACTATTAACAATTTAACATGACACGAATACGATACGATACAAAATTAAAAGATTTGAATCTTTTGTAAATTGCTCATTTCGTAAATAAATGAATTCTACATGATACGATTAATAAGCGAATTAAGTATAAATACAATCCAAAAAAATAATACAATACACTTTCAATAAAACACAACTTGTTAGACACAAGTTTGGATATAAATGAATGGCCAGTCTATGGAATTGAAACTAGCCTTACACACCAAGGGACTGTTTGATGAGGGGGTATGAGAGGTCTTAGTAAGATAGGTTTGGAAAAAATAGTCCAAAAGATCCTCAAATTTCATGTTTAAATTGAAAATTCAATACGGAGCTTCCAAACCTGGTCCGTAACTGGCTTGAATATTAAATTCATGATCGTGAGTTTCGTCAAACCTACGAAGGGGGTGTGTTTAGAAAAATGGGTTAAGGGGTTAAGGATGCAAAAGATAATTATATCCCTTAACACATGTATGAATTAGATTGATTAAAGGTAAAATATTTATTTACAGGACAAATAGTTATTAATAATTATAATATATCCTTAGGTCTTACATGTATATTTATTGCATATCAAACATGGGTATGAACTGAATTTAATGTTGAATCTCATCTTTATAAAGAGGAGTTTGAATTTGAAAGGATTTAGTGAAACCAATTCAATCTTTCCCCAAAAATTCATCCAAACAAGTTCCAAAGGACTCGGGCTTCCGTCGAACGAGTAGCAAATATGAGTCAGTCAATGTGGCAGCCCCATGGGCCAAATCGACCCATGGACACATCTGGATCCACATCCGATTCTTTTAGATTTCATATTTTGGTAATCTCAATACAATTCAATCATTCATCCCTCTTTCTAAAATATATCTATATAATAAAGTAAAACGATTTTGAATTTTGTAGACAAAGAGTGGTTGAGATCGTTTTAAAATTAAAAAAAGCATCATCCAACGGTCGACGTTATCCTAAACTGTCTCAAGCTATTGACGTTTCAGATCGTTTCAATCTGACGTACTATATTAATTCTTAGAATATTTTTTCCGCTAAAAATTTAGTTTCCAAAATTAACATTCCTAAATTAAATTCCCCCAATTCATTCACTAATACGTCGTCTTGCCATAATTTTGTTTAGTTGCCTATTTCATGTCCTATTTTGTTCATGACCAAAAAAAAATGTCCTATTTTGTTTAGAAATTTTAATTTTTGAATTCGAGCGCCCTCAATCAAGTCCAAATCCCCTCTCGGGGAAATCTTTACACGGCATCCCCTCTCCAAACCTATGATATCCCCTCTCGAGGAAATCTTTCTCTCACGCCCAGTCTCAGTCACTCCTTCAATGGCCACACCTTCAATAGCCATCGTTTTCCTCTCTCTCATTCATCGTTGTCGACAGTCGCTACCAACAACAGGCAGCAGCAGTAGCTCAGCCACCGTCAAGTCTAGCATCTCTTTCAGGTATCCCACGCATCTTTTCTTCCTCAATATTAATTTGTATCCCCCCCCTCTCTCTCTCTTTCTCACACACACATAAACATTCTCCATTGTCGTAACCCCCACTCGAAAGCCCTGCACACCAACTGTTCGTTGAGTTGCCAAGCCAAATGTTTTGTCCAATGGGATCTTGGGTGCCTATTTGTATATGTCTATTTAGTTCTCTCTATTACAATTAATGAGTGCTTGTTTGTGTGGTTGAGTTTCTTTTATGATTTCTTCTTTGATGGTGGTGATATTTGTTGGGGTAATATTGTTTATTCAATATTTAGTGCTTTTCTTCTGTTCTTTGTTATGGGTTTTTCCGTTAGTTCAATGATATGACTCTCTTTTTTAATAGTGGTTTGGTTATTTTGATATTATATTTCAATTCGATTAAGGCAATTAGGGGTTTGACTGCACTTAACCGAGTGCAAACTTTTTCCCCAATGCTTTATTATTTTCTTTTCTTTCAACAAGCAACGAAATGAGACTTAATTTTTTGGGTTTTTGAGTTCATATTTTTGAGTCATTGCTCATGTTGAAAATCAGTGTTTTATTTTTATTACTTTATTTACAAACAATGTTGGATTACAGTGAAATAAGTTATTTTGAATTTGAGAGAATTTGTTGGTGGTAAAAAACCAAGGTTTATGTACATCATCTCAAATGTTCATCCAAGTCTTAGAGTTTACATCACATTTGTTAGTTATTTTCAGTTCATTCAAAGAAAGCCTACCCCAAGCTGCCAACAACAACAGTCTTGTTAAAAATGCTGATATTAAAAAGGTAGTTTTATCTATCGATAATTGAATATTTGACTATTTAATTCTATGTTTATGTGTTTGTCTTTTGTTTTTTATATTTTATCGGAATTCGGGTGAGATTTATGCAATTGGGGTTGAAGTTTTGGTGGGATTTTTTTCTTTACTTTATTTCTTTTGGTGGAGTCACATGAATTAGGAGATAGTCATTGTTCAAAAAAAAATTAGGAGATAGTTGTTGAGATTGGTTCTATAAATCTCAACCTCTATATTAACTCAAAATTCGGCTAGTGAAAACATAATATAATGTGAGTGATACTTTTGATTCAGCTGGTGCGTTGAATTATTACTATAAGTGTGGTACATTTCCTATTGGTTTGATACATATGATCAATTGCCTTGAATCTTAGTTTTCTCTTATATCTTTGTAAGAACAACAACATTTGATTTACAAAGGTTGGATCTTAAAGGACGATCAAACGCTTCAAATAGTAATATACATGTTGAACTCATCTCTTTCTCTTTCTCTCCCTCTCCCTCTCTCTCTCTATGTTTTCAATGCACTTCATGGGCAGAGATTAGGGTTCAAAAGAAAAACAAACTTCATTTTCTTAAAGAAATCTTATTTTGATAGGTTTATTGCTGCAATGGTTTTCATGTACTAAACAACATTATGAAAAAAATTAAAAAAATGATTTGAATTAGAAAATATTTTTAAGATGGCAGTAGCTTCTTTTTAAAGTGGATTTATGTATTATATTTTCAAAATGTGTCCTATTTTAAAGTCTCACCATGTTTGGCACCTAAAAGTTAAGGTGAGATCGGTTATTAATTTAGTTTTCTTATAAAGAATTTAAAATATTCAAAAGGGTACGATAGAACTCAGAATTTTTTTTTTCTATAATTTTGGTTTCTTTTGATTGTTTAGCAAGTTAGTATTTGAAACATATTATAATTTCTATTATTTGAATCAATGAAATTTTTTATCGTTTGAATTTTTGTTTGAGTTATACAACACCTTCGTGCACAATAATATTTGCTTGCGATTGTTTTGTTTTATATGGTGTCTTCAGGCACGGGCAATTGCTAGTATATCTATATAATAAAACAGGAGTGTGTTTGAATTTTATACTAGTCATATTTTCTCCCACAAAATCATCACTAATCACTTATCTCACTCATCATTCCTTTGTCAGACTCAAACGTCAAATCACATCACTCATTTCTATCATATGTTTAATCTTTATATATTTTCTCCTTAAAATATCACATCATTTATTTTTATCACATATTTAATTATTTAATATTTGATTAATTTGTAGTTAATATAATTTAAAAAAATTTAATATAGTGGGATCGATTTTTGGATGCTCAAATTTTATATTTCATCGTACTTTCAGGCACGGATTATGACTAGTATATATAAAATAATTTTACCTTTCACAGTTCAGATCACTTTAAAGTTAATCTAACGATTAATATTAACACCATAAATCTAATAGAAAAATTAGACCTCTAAAGATATATTTGGAGTGACTTTTTAAAAGTATTTTTACGAATTACTTCTCATAAGTACTTTAAAAAAAATAGTATTTGAAACCGTCTCACCACTACCTCTACCACCACCGTTACCTCTACCGCCTCCACTGCTATCGTCGTCGACGCTGCCACCACCGCCTCCACCACCACAACTATCACCATCGTCGCCACCACCACCACCACTACCACAGTCGCCTCCAGCATCGCCGCCGCCACCATTATTGTCGTCACCACCACCGTCGTTGTCACTGTCACCACCACCACCTCCACCGCTACCACCCCCCACCACCGCCACCTCCATCGCTACCACCCCCCTCCATCGCTACCACCGCTGTCGTCGCCGTCGCCGTCGCCACCACCACCATCGTCGTCACCGTCGCCGCCACCGCCATCACCACCACCGCTACCACGATCATTGCAACCCACCACAACCATTACCGTCTCCTACCACCACCACTGTTGTCCATTACAACCAATGTTTAAATTCATTTATCTCTGTCCTATGTTTGTGATTTGATTTTAAATATGAATATAAATATATTTGATTGAAATAAAAAAGTTAACTAGGGCTATTCACCCGAGAAAATTGGCAAAAATTTTAGAATTCCATGTTCCAAGTCAACGAGTTACACAAGAATATTTGTGACTGATCTTACCCGATTGAGGGTAATGTTCCGAACCGAGTTTCATCCAAAAAATAAACTCTGAAGGCCGGTAAAGAATGCCTAATGCCTCACAAATTTTTAAGCTTTAAATTATTAATTTTTGAAATATTTTAAAAACGCAATTACCAAAATTTTGAGCTCTTTTTACAACTAGACCGTTAAAATATATAATATAAAAGATATGTAAACCAATACAATAAATTAAAAAAAATACAATAAATCTAATTAATATGTTCTCTAATAGTCTAAAACACAATCGTAATTCATATACTTCTTAAACAATAAACAAAACGACATTATTTTATAACACACATTATTAAAAAAACTACAAATTAAAAAAACTTTCCATTAACCGTCCAAAAATACGCGAAAGCTAAAGTATTAGATAAAATAGGATCGAAATATTATGGAACAAGTCGGTGGACTTCTCGAATGGTAGATGATGGGACAATCATCCGATATTTGGACTCGTGACTATAAAAAAATGACGAAAACGAGTAGTTTCTTTCTGTCCTGAATAATTAAATGAGCTGCATACATGAACAAAAGGCTCGAGCTTGTTGGGTAAGTGAGAATATAGACCTGTACGCTAACATAAGTCAATTCTACAACCATTCAACCATGCCTTGTTCAGAAAATGATGATAACTTTGAAGCTAAAATGAATCGTATTGATCTTGTAACATGTAGTTTCTCCTCAAGAATAAACCAGCTACTCATGCAATCACACCATACCATTAAGCATCCCCTCTCAATTCATCTAAAGAAGAAATGCTATCATCAGTACATCCTCCATCGCTTCAAAAGAAACTCAAGCACAGTTTTTTTTTTTTTTTACACTACAGGGAGGGGGAGGGAAAGGGAAAGGAGGACGCAAACCATCAACCTGCCACTCCATTATAGAGGGCTCCAACTATCCGGGTAGGACTTCAGTCTCGAGCACGGGTTATTTGAATACTAAATTTTGTTCAAAATTCCGAGAGTCAATGCTATTACCCTCATTTAGTGTAAATTACATTAAGAATACAATTGTAATCAATTCATCCTTAGTTAGGAACACTTACTTCCCTCAAGACTTTTGCAGCGTCCTCTGGAAAAACAGGATTTATGTAACAACCCGTCCCTAACTCGAACCCCCCTACACCACTCAACTGGGGTACTATTTGAAGAAACCAGTGAAGGTAAGGAAACAGTGAGGGGGTCACATGAAGTGGGGAAGCGTGGATCATGAAATTGAATGGTGGATTGTTCAACTGCAAAGACATCTTTAGAAGCATAAGTTTCAGTAAACCCCCAAGATCAACCGCCTGCAAAATTGCACATTGCAATTATTTATGCGTCTAAATTAAAAACAAACAAGTTGCACATGTTCAGTAAGAGCAATCAAATTAAAACACATGGAAAAGTTATGGCTTATTATTGCAAGAGATGCAGGATTTTCTACAAGAAAAGGGTATATATTGCTGCATAGAGCAAAAACATTATGTGACGTAACGCAAAAAAATACCTTCTCGGCATCTATTTCGTGAAAATGTGAAGAGTGGTCCCGAGGAATGATCCATATTTCAAAAGGAAAAGTGGCAGCAAAAGGAACAATAGAAATGAAATGGGTTGATTCATCAATTAAAAGGTCCTTTGATCGAATCTCACAAAGACTGCACTTTCCAGTCAAATCAAAATGGTCCTTCATACTCGCGAAACGGGCAGAAACAGTTGGAGGAACAATCGGAAGAGACATTATCTGACTATGAGAATGACTCATTGAAGCTCCAGCTGAAGCACCATGGTTTTTGAAAACCTGAAAATTAGATTAACAAACACAGTTGATATCAGATACCTTAACAAAAGGGAAACGGGTGTGTGTGTGTGAGAGAGAGGGAGGGGGGGCAGATTCAATGAAAAGAAAAACACGGAATCTGAGCGTTGGACTTATATACAGAACAAAATAAAAAACTGGAATATTTAGCAGGTCTGATTAATATATGGCAGCAATAAGCTAGAGAACAACCCAAAATTAAAGCCATTGACAATTTATGGCACATATGAGTACATGTTTTTCATTCTAGATGCTGGTTTGTATGGACTACCTCAAATCCTAAACAGTGTAAGAACCCCGATAAATACTTATGGCACCTATTTCCTTTTTTCTTTCTAAGGCCAACATTGTACTAAATACTCACTATCATTCATGTCCTTCGTACATACCAAACATGATGTTATTATGTGGTCTCAGTCCTCCAATCCACAGGCTAATATGCAAGCTTTTGAGTAACAAAAAAGAAAAGAGTTTTAGTTTAGGGAGTTATGGGGTGGAATTTCTATTTTATTAATTTGGTAAACAAAAGTGAATTTCACTGATAGGAAACATTCGCATTACAAATCAATGGAAAAGATTTAAGAAACAGGACGCTCGTTGAAAGAAGCAAAAAGCTGCAAAGTTGAAACTAGGCAACCTTGTTAAAACCAAAGCACTACTAAATGCATATCTCGCAAGGTTACAAAATGTATATCTACCATATCATAAAGCTAAGCAACACTACTCCTCCAGATCAAATACCAGGTACAGCAGAGCAGTTTTTCCAACACATAAACCAGCCCTTGCTTGCTTGCTTCAGTACAAAATGACATCTCTCATTCAGCAGTTAACACTGATACATTGCAGATATGCACAACTTAACTCGTCATAGCATCCCATTAGTTGCTTATCATCTCAAATTTTCCAAACAGCTACATGACATATTCCAGATAAATGCCAACTGCCTATTTATAGATGAATTGGAAACCCTGGCAGAAAATAATAATCCCCCTCTAATAGCTCCCTTATCATAGCAAAAGTAGTATCAGTGTCTTTAAATGAATTGCAAGAATTTTTTGAACTCCTTTCATCACTTCCATGTCAAATGTAATAAACAAAGGCAGCTAAACATAGCCAAGAAAGAAACATTATTGTTGAAACAAAACCAACAACAGCCTTGCAATACTCTAAGCTACGAATGAATGAGTCAAACCCAAATCCAAAGGATCATTTTGTTTCAATACGATCGAAGCAGTTAAAACGTTTCGAATATTTTGAGATGTTTCGGTATATTTTGAAACCAAACAGTTAATCCTGACCCAAATGACAAAACATCAACTCGCCTTGAAGTTGATGAATGATTGCAAGGCTAGCAACAAGCAGGCTCGCTTATGATCTGCTGAAATAGTACATCCACTTTTTTTTTTGAATTCATGAAGCAGATTGTGGAAAAGGGCTTGCTTGAACAAGGCTTTCAGTTATTTGCCTTTTTTTTTGAGTACCGACCAAGCCCGAAAGACGGAAAGGAACACGGGTCAGCTGAGTCGCGATAAACCAGAATAATGTCTCAAAGACTTGAATTTACCGAAAAAAAGCCTCTCTATGGCTTCTATCATGCTGTATATGGCATGTTTAATGCCTTCTAAATGCCTATTTTTCGAGGCGTCAAGCCACGTTCCACGGATTCCATCAGGAATTCTCCATTGTAAGATTCAAGAGCAATTTTTGTTTGCTTAATAAATTGTTGAACCTAGGTATTCTGAACCTGTCTATTCAACTTCAACTGCCGTCGAGCCAAATACCTCAATATACTAAAGTAAAGGTCTTCAATATTCGAAAATTCTTCCAATTCCAATTCAGCTTATTCAATTTAGGAAACTAGGTATTCAAGTTCACCCGCCTTTGAAGCTGCTAGACCTGTGGATTCAAGTTGACCCGGCCGGGTTGTTTGATTGAGTCGAGGCGCTGCAAGCGATCGCCTTCGTCTGGTTTCATTGCCTAGCTCTCCTCATGGTGTGCCTAGCTTCGTGCTTAGCAATTCCCTGCCTAGCTCTTCGGAAGCAGGTTGAAAAAGCCCAGGCCCGCCCTTCCTTTCATAGGATAGAGAAAACCCGCGGTTACTTCGCTCAATGCGCCTTATTTCTTTGAATGCTTAAGCCTAGAAAGATCTTGCTTGCTGGTTGATTTATCCACTCATCCTAACCCCACCGTAGGCCGGAGAGGCCAGCCCTAGCTCCAACATCGAGGCGAGGTCTAGAAATCTCTTTCTAAAAAAGAAAAACGCAGTTTTCAGGTCTTTACGAGTACTCTAAGAGCTTGATTCAAAGCGCTTGTTATTCGCTCTTCAAAGGGCAAGGAAGAAGTCATCTCCCTTGCTGGAGGAAACTACCTTTCTATCCTTCTCCACCCTCCACCCATATTCGATGCAGGAGTCTTGTCTCGTCAGGATAAACCAGGATAACCCACGTTCACGTGGTCCCATGAGTGGTTCAAAAAGGGTCAAAATGGAGGTCCTTTTCGGTCCTATATATTCTACAAGAAGGCTTACGTTTTTCTTCTGTTGGGCGCATGATCTCCGGCTGAGCCGACTTCGGTCCCATTATATACAAGTTTATATATATACGAGACGTACTCCCTTTCCCTAACCTTGGGCTTGGCAATCGAGAAAAAAGTGAAAAACTGGGAAAAGGATACCCTTCAAAAAACCAGGCATCCTTAGATCTTTCGTTTGGACCAAGGAAGAAGAGGGCCGAGGCAAAGCGGGAGCAGAAGCCTTATCGGAGACCAGACTTCTAGTCTATGGCCTGAGTCAGTTCCAAGACCCCTAAAAGGAAGGGGGCTCGAGCCCTAAATAAGATTTTTTGGATCTTACCTTTCAACGGTGGACAACTCAATTTGCACCAACCAAGTCTCTTTTAGGTTGAGAGAGTTCCACCAGAACAATAATTTTGCTCGAAATGCGCTTTATTCGTTCGCTCGCCAAAGCGCGAACCCGCCGATCGATCCACCGACCGTAATGTCCAGCAGTAGCCCTATGAGGTACCGCTCAAGCCAAGTAGCGTGGTCTTCGGGAACAGGATTTCTCTCTCCGAAGAAAAGCTTTATTCATTCATCTTTTTATATAATAAGGCGAACTGATCAAGTTGAAACGTAAACTATATTTCTACCCCATCCCTTCACTAACAATCAACCTTGATGCAGCATCTAGGTAGTTCTCATCAGGAACCATTGTAACGAAGTAGGTAGACCATATTGGGTCATTGGAGCTTTGGAGCTGAACAGATTGAGCTGGAATAATAATGGGAGCTCCTCTAGGTCCTGTGGCGAAAGTAGCCATAATAGGAGCAATATAGTCTTTAGGGCTAGAATAAGATGGAAATATAGATCAAATTATTCTCGATGGCACCAAGGGAGGTTCTGCTACTAGGGGGTCAGGGCAAGGAACTATAGCCAAGTCTTGAGAGTGCAAGTTTTGGCCTGGTTCAGATTCTGATGAATTAGCCTCAACCGTTGGGAGTTCAGTGTCAATCTCACCATTGACAGATAGAGTTGAAGAATCAATTAGCCCGGGATTTCAGATTTAGATCTTCAACTACTTCCGAGAGGGTCTCATGCTACGATACGAGTAGAATACATAGGGGTATAGCCCGGGTAAACCAAATAATATTTTTACGTATTTCTTTTATTGGAAACCTACAAAGTCGCAATCCTGCCTTTAGTGTGTGTGAAGGGGAGCAGACCTTTTTGAGATTCATTCTTGCATTCCAGTCTAACTCTCCTTTCTGTCTGTCACTGGATAAGAAACATTATTGTTGAAACAAAACCAACAACAGCCTTGCAATACTCTAAGCTACGAATGAATGAGTCAAACCCAAATCCAAAGGATCATTTTGTTTCAATACGATCGAAGCAGTTAAAACGTTTCGAATATTTTGAGATGTTTCGGTATATTTTGAAACCGAACAGTTAATCCTGACCCAAATGACAAAACATCTACTCCAACCAGAAAGAAAAAAAAAATCAAAACGTCCGAGAAAATTGACAGTACTAAGAATATCCCAAGATTACACATACAAGCAAACTCGTAAATTGCACGCTAGAAATGACCCAAAAAAGTAAAAGATGAAAAAAAAAAAATACCTGGACGTATTTGATGGAATCGTAACACCGAAGCTGTAGAATCCTCTGTTTATAAGCAAGCAAAACATCACCGACCTCAGCCGGAGAGAGATCGGACAAGTGAATCGGGTGAACCGGAGATTCAATCACCACATCGTGAAACCCAAACCCACTCACCTTCACGTCACCGTCCCCAGAATCAGACTCAGGACTAGGGTACGTAGGAGGAGGATCAATGTCTCTACTTAGAGCTGGGTATAGGTTTTGAATGACCCTGATCTTCCAATCGGAGGAGGCAGAATCCGCTGGGACGCGGAAGATTTCCGGTGCACATTCGTGCTCGTGACCGATACAGAATGGGCATACCGATTTGTTGTTGGAAGTGGTATTTGGGTTTGGTTTGGATTTGAAGTCGGACGGCCGACGAGCTCTCGCCCGAGAGAATATCACCCACCGATTGTTCACTGTGTCCTTCCTTATTTCTGGGCTCCGGTTTGGCGCTTCTGCCATCTTCTTTTCGTCTGTGAACCCTCACCTCAAGCTCCCCAACTCACCACAGGACAAAAAATTGGGCAACTGCCATCGGACAATGGGCACCCCAAAAATTTTAAAATTTTATAGGGGCAAGGACACTCAAATTCACTTAATTACTCGGATGTCCAGAAATTTAAAATATTATATACAGATTTTTTAAAATTTATAGGCACGTAACATTTAAATTCTGTTATAAATATATTCGTTAATAAATTATACTTAAACTCCTCTAAAATTTGTGAATATATAATACTTAAACCCTTTAAATTTAAAATATTATACTTAGATAAAAAATATTCCAAGCAAATATAAAATATAAAATATTTTTAATTTTACAACCAAAATTCATGTTCTATTGTATCATTTATTTAAATAAAATTAAAAATAAAATTTTAATTTTTTCTTAAAAAAATTATAATTAGTATACAATTATACTATCTATTGAAAGAGTCTAAGTCATTCATAATAAAATATAAATTTTACATCCAATATTCATGTTCTATTATGTCATTTGTTGAAATAAAATCAAAAATAAAAATTTATTTTTAAAAAAAAAAAAACTTAGTTAGTATATATTTATATTGTCTATTAGAACAAAACTAAAAAATTAAACTAGGAGTAAAATTGTAATTGACACAATATCTTTTAGATTTAATTGGGATAGTTTGGTGTTTTAATTTAGTTGTTTAAACAACTAAATTAAATTTTAATAGACAATACAATTGTATATCAATTACAATTTTTTAAGAAAAAATTGAATTTTTATTTTTGATTTTATTTTAATAAATGGTACAATAGAACATGAATTTTTGTTGTAAAATTTAAAATATTTTATATTTTATATTTGATTGGAGTATTTTTGGTCTAAGTATAATATTTTAAGTTTATAGGGTCAAAATATAATTTATTAACGGATATATTTACAACATGGGTCTATGTGTTATATGTGTACAAACCTCAAAGAGTCTGTGTGTAATATTTCAAATGTCAGGGGTGTGAGTGATTAAGTGACATTGTGACAAATCTCAGAAAATCTGAGTGTAATTCTCCCGATTGTATAACATGAAATATTAGTTTTTTGGATTTTTTTGCACTTTGTATCCCCAAAATATTTTTTAATTTCTACTTTGTACTCCAAAAGTTATTTTTTTCACTTTACATCCTAGTTGTCATTAATTGATTTCAATGTGGGCCTTCCGTTTGAAATTCTGTTAAATTCGGAGTTATTTATGGCATGTGCAACTTAATTGGCACACACAAAAAAAAGGTTTAAGTGCTTAATTGACACAAATATTATAATTTGAGGGTTATATGTGTAATTTATTCTAACTTTATTTAAAAAATTATAATTTTGGTACAATATTCCTTTTGGTATGAATATAGTAATTTTCACCTTTGGAAAAATCATGTTTGATATTTACCACAAAAGGTAATTTCACTTTTGAATATAATATTATTAGGCACAGTGCGCTTCTTAGGCACGCAGGGGAGCTAATTGGATCCCAACTATGTATTGAACAAACCTAAACTTTAGAGGATCCAAACTGTTTGGGCATGTTTGTTTTAGGGATTAAGAGATGGAATTAGGTTAATTTAATTATGTGTTGCTCTAATTCAAAGTTTGAATTAAGTTATATTGATCCAGTGTTAATTTTGATCATGTTTATTATTGTGATTTAACACATAATATCAAGTATTATTGAATACTTTGTTGTAAGCAGTGTTATTTTTAACGAGTTTAGTATTAAAAACATAATTACTTTATTACCGATATAAATCTAGATTTACGCCTAAAGGTGTCTATGGGTCGAGTAAGGCTAGGTTAGACTTGTGAAATTTTTTCTAGATGAATAAGATATGCTCAAATCCTTACTTGAGTAAATTATCGTGCAAACTGAGCCCGGACTTTGGATAGAGGTAGATTACCCGTAACTCAGTCTGCCACTCACTATGAGGGCCTACTAAGCGGGCTTTATATATATATATATATATATATATATATATATATATATATATATATATATATATATATATATATATAAAGTTTTCAACTTAGCATTTTTGTAAATTATATTTTTAAATTAAAAATAGAGTTAAAATAAATAAAAAGTAAATAATGAATAATTTTATTTAAGAGGAATTATTTAACATTTAAGTTAAGAGTAATGCTACTTGGACTCAAGTAAAGAGTCATTATCAATACCCTAGATTATTCAACTTAGTATTTAAGTTAATAGAGTTTTTTTTAAGAGAAATATGTCACATAACTTTCGATGGTCAATTTTTTTTTTTTTGTCAAACGATGTGAGTGGATGGGCAAGTTGGGGGCTGTGTAGGTCGATTCTTAGGCGGGTTTTAATAAGTTTTTGTGGGTGGGCTAATGGCCTTGGTAAATGACCTTGGGGACAAACCTAAGTCATCTTTTAAATGATATTAAACTCAGGCTAAGACGGGTCAATTATCGGACTTCATAACTATTTTTGGGTTGGGTAATAAAATATGTGGTCCAACCTAACCCATGGACATATCTTATCCACACATTCATATAAAAGTTAAACATTATACAAACTATTAACCTCAATATTTGTGTTTGTCATTATCAATTTAATACCATATATTATGACCTTATCAAAACATAAATTTAGTATTATAATTATAATTGGATATTTTATCCCAACTTTGATCCAATTTTGTTACAAAATATGCATTGTTTCTACCCAAACCAAACATACTTTTTAAGTATAGTGGCATGCGGGGCATCTCGTAATAATGAGAAGAAAGGAACAAAAAAAGAAAAAAATCGAAATTGGATATGAATCAAGCATTAGTTCCTAGGGGAAAAAGTTAAAGCAAAGTTAACAGACAAGGTTAAGAGCTTTGTGATCACAATAGTAAAAATTTATCGAAGTAGTCTATAAACGCTCTCTCCTTTGCCCCACACTTTTTTCTCTTATAAAAAAAAATAAAATAGTTGAAGCAAAGCTGGATCAAGCCCACAAAGAAGTGAATTTTGAACCCCCCCAAAAAAAAAAATCTCTCTCTATCTATCGAGTAAATATTAAATGCAATGGCGATACCATGTTACTATTAATGACATGATATGATTAACCAACAATAAAACTCCAGATAGAAAAGGTGAATCCTACTTGGGCTTGTATGACAGAAGGGTGGAAAGTTATTTGCTTACATAACATGTTCATTATTGATTTTTGTGGGATTCATCTGCTTATTTATTTTAGTATCATTGGTTGATGATATCACATCACATTACCACGTGATACCACCGTTATAATGAATATTTTCTCTTATCTCGGGGGTGGGCATGGGGTAGGATGCAAAGTGGCCCATAAACTGAGGGCTTGAGCTGGTTGTTGTGGCCATAGTTTGGGCCAGGTTCAAAAAGATGGGCTGACATTGTTTTGGTCCTAGGATTGATGTCATGGCCCATGTTTTATTATATGTAAATGTATTTTTCTATATTCATGAAATATATTTGTACTAAGGTACCCGTGTAATACATGACCAAATGTGTGTACTTTTTTTCTTTTGGTGTAATTAAAATATAGTTAGTGGCTAAAGTGTAACTAGGTAGATTTATTGTGGTTATTGTTAAAATATATTCATTTTTTCTAAATATAAGTTATAAGGTAAATCATTGAATTGAAATGATTTTGGTTCGTTGTTATACTTTATGTCCAGACTGCTCGAGTGGTTACGAGGTCACTCAAGCGGTCTCTATTTTATTGCCTTGGTTTAAATTATTATTTCATTTTTATAGTCATCGTCCTCCCATCGTTTTCTCATTACTTGAGCAATCGTTTGATTTTATCACTTCGATCTCTAAAGTATTTAATTCGTGTTTAAATGGTTCATATACAGACGAACTGTTAAGTTTTTATCTGAATGATCACATATTAATCAAGTGATATCGTCTAAAAAAATAACGCATAGTCACTTTGTAAAAAAATTTAATAAATTATCTGATTATGAACCAAAGTGACACAAATTGAAATTTTAGAGATCAAATTAATAATATTAATATAATGAGGACCAAAATGATAAAACAAACACACTTTAAAATTAAAAATACTATTAACCCTTAATCATTCAAATTTCAAAGTAAATAATAAGTGGGTACCCTTACTATTCTAGCATAATTATTTATCAGCTCCAAAGTCAATACCCCACCAGAGGGATACTACAATAATACCAACAAAAAAGCCGATTGTCTGTAAGGACGACACAATGACTGAATTCTGAATTCTTCAGAAAAAAAATGTACTATTAATAATTTTGTACCATAAAATAACACCTGATACTTATTTATCTTATAAATATTTTTAAATATGAGAAAAAAATAATATTCACAAAGTATTTTTCAATGGAGTTGTAATAGTGATAGAGGCGAGGCATAAGAGGAAGTGCTGGGCTAATTATGACCCTTTTCGAGCAACTCTTTTAACTATCGCATAATTTTTTCATTGGTCAATATCGATGTCTTATAACACCGTTGTTGAGTAAGATTGTTCCTCGTATGAGTTCCATTAAGTATGTTTCAGTCTGCTACGAGTGTAATATGAGCATTCGTCAACAAAAAGATCACCTTAAGATGATCATCTCATGACTATTGAGAACGAATCAAATCAAATGATTTTATTTTTCAATGGCTTTATGTCTGGACGGGCGAGTAGACTGGATGAGCAAAAGGTGTCATGCAATAGAATGGGAAAAATCCCGAGTCATGTGTAAGGCAATTAAAGGTGCACTTTGCCTAGTGACTACCAAATGAGTTTGCGCATAAATTAAAGACGAATATAATCTAATGCATGTTCCTGCAAATAGAAGAGTGGCCCCAATATCAAGACGACTTCTTTCTCCTTCAATGACTACGATTGATTCATCTCCAGTTTCTTCTATCGTATAGATAGTGGAAGAACAACTAGCAGAAATTAGGGTAGCCTTGGCGCAAAAAAAAT